CAACACAACGAACCGAAAACAAAATAAATTCCCACCGAAACATCAACAAAAAAACAAATAAATAAAAAATATAAAAAACACGAGCAGGGATACGGCGGACTCCACAACATATCGGAAAGATGTGCCCAGCGAGTGACGGCTTCAGCGGCGCCACCGGGTCCTCCCACTAACCTAGATAACTTCCATCAATACAGCTGGAACTTCAGGGGGGAGGGAGGAAGGAGGAGGAGGAGGAGGAGGAGGAGGAGGAGGAGGAAGGAGGAAGGAGGAGAGAAGGGGAGGAGGGAGGAGGAGGAGAAGGAGAAGGAGAGAAGAGGAAGGAGGAGGAGGGAGGAGGAGGAAGGGAGGGGAGGGAGGAGGAAAAGGAGGAGGAGGAGGAAGAGGAGAGGAGAGGAGAGGAAGAAGAAGGCAGGAGGAGGAGGAGGAGGAGGAAGAGAGGAAGAGAGGAGGAGGTGTGAAGAAGAGGAGAGGAGAGAGAGAGAAGAGTGTGGGTAAAGGGGGGAGGTGTAGGTGAGGATGTGTGCAAGAGCATTTGCGTCTGAGTGAGTGACTGAAAGAATAAGTGAATGAATGAGTAGTGAGTGAGTGTCAGAATGAGATTGACTGCGTGTTCGTTTGTGCCTGCCTGCCTGCCTGCCTGCCTGCCTGCCTGCCTGCCTGCCTGCCTGCCTGCCTGCCTGCCTGCCTGCCTGCCTGCCTGCCTGCCTGCCTGCCTGCCTACCTGCCTGCCTGCCTGCCTGCCTGCCTGCCTGCCTGCCTGCCTGCCTGCCTGCCTGCCTGCCTGCCTGCCTGCCTGCCTGCCTGCCTGCCTGCCTGCCTGCCTGCCTGCCTGCCTGGCCTGCCTGCCTGCCTGCCTGCCTGCCTGCCTGCCTGCCTGCTGAATTTTGCATCTGCATTATGTACAAGTACTCCACGCGTATGCACATCTCTAACCCAATGTTTACAGAAGCGTGTCGGCGTCTACGCATCTATGTCCCCCCACCGTCAAATGCAGCAGCGCCAGTCCCAACCCTCGTCCTTGAGCTCCATCAAAGAGACGAGGACTACCAAGCACACGTCCCCAACCCTCGTCCTTGAGCTCCACCAAAGCGGCGAGGACTACCGAGCGCACGTCCCCAACCCACGTCAGATCAAGGAGGCGAGACGAGTCACTGAGCCCCTCGTAGATCAAGGAGGCGAGGACTACCAAGCACACGTCCCCAACCCTCGTCTTCCCAGAAGCGGCGAGGACTACCGAGCGCACGTCCCCAAACCCAAGTCACGGAGCCCGAGGGAGCTACGACGAGCACACGTCCAACACCCACGTCAGGAGCGTAGATCAAGGATACCAAGCCACGTCCCCAACCCTCGTACTTGAGCAAAGCGGCGAGGACTACGTCGTCAAGCCCCTCGTAGATTCCAAGGAGGTCACGAGGTGGCGGCGAAGGACTTCCAGTCATTGAGCTCCACCAAACGGCGAGGACTACCGAGCGCACGTAACCCACGTCACGGAGCCCCCTCGTAGATCATGGACGCGAGGACCACCGGGCTCAGCGCCATGGCAAAACGAGGGGAAACAATACCATAGATAACCAACAGAGAATCGTCAGGCGTGGGATTAACGCGTGGCTGTTCTTCGGACGCGGAGAGAGAGGAGAGAGAGGAGAGGAGAGGAGAGGGAAGGGAGTCCCGGAGCTGCTGTGGCGGGCTTTCGGATGCCGAGGGGAAAGAAGAGGAAGAGGAAGGGGAGGGGAAGGAAGGGG